TCCCAAACTTTTTGAGTCTAATGAAGTTTTCTTGTCTTGTGCCACAGTTTCTTGCTTTTGAAGTAAAACTACATTTCACCGTTGTGTTTTTTTGAATAGACAGGCTACTGAATTGTGTTGTTGCACTCACATTGTGTGTGTGTGTGTGTGTGTGTGTGTGTGTGAGTTCAAATGTTTTGTTATTATAAAAACTACAGTAACGTCACGGCAAGTCAAAGTTGATTAATCTGTATAATTCAATTGCTGTTATTGCATCAAGCTGGGTCTGTAGGAGTGGCAGCTAGATACAGCAGCTTACTTATACTATTGGCACTTTGCAGACATCAACAGAAAATAACTTGGTGTATTTGTGTTTATGTACAAACGGGTTCTTCTTATGTACTAACATTTTCTTATGTACAAACTGATTTCTGCTTGCTCGTACAATCATCCTGTGCCATTGCACTTTACTTATAACATTTCATACAACCACTACAGAGAAAAGGTGTATATAATGTACATACTCAGCATTTTTCTATGTTCTACTGTCTTTCTTTTATATTTTGTTATTCTGCTGCTGAATTTCCCCAGTGTTTGGATCAATAAAGTTTTATCTTATTGAATAATTTCCCTCATCAATATCCCTCCAATGTATCAATATAATCAGGCCCTTAAGTCTGTAAACCTGACACTGACGGTGTCAAATAACAGACATGTAATTAGAGGGGTCCTGTTAGGAGCCGATGATGCAGAGAGGACAGGCCCCTGGACAGTATGTGACATTGTTGGTACAGAAGTGTCAAAGAAGGTATAACACGCACACATACGTACACACATGTACACAACCTCGTACTTTTATCTTAATGAGGACACTCTTGGAGTAATGCATTCCTGCCCCCTTTTTCCTCACTCCATCAGGTCCAGCCTCAAAATGGTGCTCACAAAGATATCTGTTCAAGTACGCACACATACATGATATGTGTAACAGCATCCAATACACATTTGTAATATATTGTTACACAAAATCTGTGTACATAGTTGTTACTGTAAGTCAGAGTCAATATTGACTGTTTAAGGAAAGTACTTCTACATACAGTGCTTCACATATTGCTTCACCACTCCCGTTCTTGTTGTATTCCATGAGTGAGACGATGTGACAATTTGTTTGAAAATGTTCTATATTTTACCCTCTCTTGTATTAAGTTTGTAAGTTTACCTGCTATCTTAAAGTTATTGTGTAGTATGCAAACATATTTCTATTGTTTAACTTGTGTAGGGGCTCAATTTGTACACAATTGACTGGAGGATTTTGTTATCAGGCTCTTTCTTTCAGAATAAACGGAGATGGCCTCCCAAGATATTGATGGTCCAGCAATTCTTGATAAATCACAATGCACACAATGCTTGTCACGAAAGACGTGACGAACTGAAGTTCTGCAGAGAGGGTGACACAGCAATGTGCTGCTACAAGGTCATGAAGTACAGGGGATATTTACAGACATACATTTGATTGGGTGGCAGACAAAGAACAGTTTGCAAGTTTGCCACCTCAGGGCAACATGTTCATTGCAGTTATATGGTCTGTTAAAGATGTTTTTAACGTGAAATGTCAATTTTATTGTGTTTACATTTTTGGATTTCTGCCATAATGAGGAGAAAATGAAGCCACACACACAAGCTTCAACATGTTGAGGAGGAGACAATTAAGAGTTGATTTATCACCAACAAGCTAATACATGCAGATCAGTGACAGCCACCTGTACATACACAAAATCATGTGGACCTATTAGCAGCAATGATGTAAACTGTTGTGAAATTAAGCTCTGCATCTCCGGCCCTGGTTCGAGGTTGTCTTTATCTCTGTGACCTTGCATGTCTCCACAGAATGGCACAACAGATACAAATTAAGAATGAGACTAAATATAGACCATTTTTCTGAAGGACCCCTGAGCCAACTTGCTCCGAGGCGGCACTGATTCTTGAGGAGAGGGGGAAAAAAAGTTGGCACACGTTGCAGAGACGTTGAGAATTTCAATGGTTGAACAGGCAACAAGTTTCAGGAGAGAAAAACAAATGTAAAACCTCCAGGGAGGAAACACGCAGGCACAGATAAGGAGAGACGACAGAGCAGGAAGACAGCAGCCTTGAATGTGCTTACTGTGCACTGCTGCACACACACACACACACACACACACACACAAACACAGCCATTACTGTAACTCTTTAATCAAAAGATTTGTTTTTATTAATAATCTATTATTGATCCACAAAAACACAAATATACACAATGATCCATGTGGCATATAAATTCAATTTAGAGAATAAAAAGTGCAAACATCACAGTATCTATAAGCTCCATTATGGGCACATGTCACATTAACTAAAAGTATCCATGCAGGGATTTTTTATAAATTTGAAAGAAAACAAAAAGAAAAAGCCAAATATACATACTGAAACTATGACTCAGTTGAAATGCGTTTGCTCCAATCTTTAGGTTTAGAACTGAAAATAATAATATTTTAAGTAAATAATTTTGACTCAACGTTTGAATACAGTTTAGAGAAAATATGGAGTCTCTTTAATATAAAACACTCAGCTACCATTTGGCAATGCACACACACATGTAAGAATATGAAGAAATGTCTTCAATTATATAAGAACAATACAAAATCTAAAGTGCTACTTTAAAAGACAGCTATGAAACAAAAGCGTACACAGTACAACATTTAAAATCAAAGCTTATCTAAGGTACGTTCTAAGACGTTCAAAAATTATCCAGTTTTTTCTTTACAACAAACATAATGGAAATCACAGCACAGTAACTAACCTGCAATTATATCACTTCCCCAAGTTTCCCTGTCTGGATATAAAGCTTAACTTTATCCCCATCTTAAAACTGAAAATCTCAAATAGAGTATTTTTCTTTTATGACTAGAGCCAGTCTATAGTTAATGTACAAACACAGGCTCCAGGCCTGGATGATGAGTTCCTGAGTGATGGTGTCATTTCTTCTCAAGAGAAGTAGAATCAAGTATTTTTTCCCTGATTTGACAGTTAGATGTGGAGTTTACCACACCAGACTGATAGAAATACTTCCAGCAATGTTATAACCATATTTAGCTAATATCCATTCAGTCCTTACAGTGATGTAACACATACCTGGCAAAAAAAAAGCTACAGTATGTAACCTAGTTTTAGTTTAATATTGATTTATTTTTGAAATATGCTGTGACAAATGTGGAGAGGTGCTATCACACTCATTGAACATAACTGCAGCAGTGGAGCGACGTTTTCGTCTTTTTTTGAGCCAGCATGGCACTTCTAACCAATCAGAGAAGGCCACAGTCAGAGGTGGGAGCTCAAACACTGTCAGTCAATATGTGACCGATGACCATGCATCTGGTCTACAGCACGCTACAGCTGCTGGAAGACGTCTAAGTCATGGACTGATGAAAGCTAGATTCCTGCATGAGCGGAGGCTTTCCAGAGTAGCTATAAACAAAAATGATTATTTGCAAAAAGCATTTGAAAAAATGTTGCTGACTCTTCACTCTATCAAACAACTAATAACTAACCTTACTCCCTAAACAATACCTGATTGAATTTGGGGTTAAGTTGCTGGTGCTGGTGTCTTTTGACAGAACTGCTGACCCACCATTTCATCACCTCTGAAATCCGAGTAAAGGCAAGTTTATGATCCAACAAGGTGAGATCTCTGAATTTTAACTCACTGTGCTTACGTTTACCATCCAGTGATGTTTTATACCAAAACGTTCTTATTGAGGCCACGTTGTTATTCAATCTTTACTGGCGGAATATCGCTCAGATTTCCCAGCAGTTACAACAACTGAACAAACTGTGAATTTACAGTGCCTCAGTCTGTGGGGTCACATCCTCCATTTTACCATTTACATTGATTGGAAACCTTTAATTGTACACAAAAAGCTTGACTGCTGGAGCGTCCTACACCCTTTTAAGTCCATTTAACTCTTCTCCTGGGCCTGAAGCATGTGTTGCCTGGTCGATCCGGTGCTGTTGCTGCCAAGAGCAGAGCCTCCAGCCTGTTTCCTCATCCACTCCAGCATATAGAACCGCAGCATTAGAAGGAAGCCTTGGAGAAAAGACCACAACCAAAACGTTTTTAATTCATTAATTAAACGTAGGCGGGCAGCAGGTAAAAAAATTATTTGCATTACTTATAACATCTAAATCAGCGTATATGAGGTATTTGTTTTATAGTGAAAGCCCATGACATCACCTTTGACCCCTTTCCTTCTGCTGAAAAACTGACACTACTGACAGCGAACTAGCCAGTTCATCATAATAGAATAGCCAGTGGTGAATACATTCTCAGTGGCTTTGCTGCTTGTAAAAGAGCCATAAACTATTAGCTCAGTCCAGGTATTACTCCTGTTGTGAGGACATATATATATATATATATATCTATATATATATATATATATAATTGTTAGCATACGCATCAGATCTAGCCTAGATAACAACATCTTTCAATAAGCCTGATTGAGCTCGTCAAACTTTACATAGGCATGTTATTACTCTTACTAACTGATAATCAAGCAACCACGTTTTAAACCTGTAATGTTAGCTGTGTTTTTTGCTGGCTGTTTGAACAGTGATGGATCTTCTTCCCTGTTGCTGTGTGTTTAAAGGCTTCTTCTCTCATTGGCTATTGCGGGTTTCTGTCAGAGCCAATTATTGTAAAAGTCTGTTTTAGTCAGGCTACATTCATGAAGCTTCCATTACTCAGTTCTGCTCAAAAGTAGTGAATGTATTTCAGAAGTTTGAATATGTGCGTCACATGTTAACTACTTAACATATACATTTTCATTTCCAACTTGTAATGTGCAGCAACAACAGGGTTAATAAGTTCCCACATCAAACCTGGACCTGAATCAAAAACGTGGTTGTGCACGTAAGAGGAAACTGCTTTTCTTCTGATAGGCGACAGTAACTGAAGGCCATGATTAACCACATGGTCATTGTCTCATTCCCCCACAGATACAATGGACAACTGGCCCCACATACACAGTCACCAATCACTGAGCCAACAATCAAAACACCCAGAGTCTCTGCTCTGCTCTGATGGTAAAAATACGAAATAGTCTAGACAAGTTGATAGAAGTTAACAGCCACGCTCCCACTGTAAAAATGAGTGTAACAACATAGTATAAAGTGCAACCTGGGCTGACTGAAGCCTGTCTGTACTGACCTTGAAAGGAGTTGAGGATGCAGGAGAGAAAAAGAACCAAGTCAGAAAGAGGCCCAAATTCCAGGAAGGTCAGACCCCAAGATGTTCCAAAGAGGCAGCTGAGGCCCCAGATACTGAGAAAAGCCACACGGTTCTGCCTCCATTCATCCCTGCGATGGATCTTCCTGTAGACGAGGAAGAGCATTACGATGCCCGACAACACCAGGCTGACCAGGATCGTCATGTTGGTGAAATAGTGAGCCAGCAATGCCTTGTAGTTTTCTTTCATCCAGCACCTGGAGAAATCAAATATCCCAGAAAGTGGAAGAAAATTGCTTCAGTTCTTTTACCAATACAGACATCTCACCATCTCCCTGCAGCCTAATTTAGGATCTTTTCACTATCTCTGCATTACTATGTATGATCTTGTTTACATCAGATAAGGGTTGGAGACGTCATCGCTTGGCACCACCTCTCTCAGTCCATAAATGTCTCCTACTGCAGCCAGGGTGACAGTAGGAACAGCAGGGAGAACTGGAAAGGAAATTTGAAAGGTGAAATTTGAAAGGTCACACGGCCCAACGTTTTAAATTAAAGTATACCTTAAAGATTTTACTTTACACACTCACCGAAGCCGACCAGGCTCCATATGTAGGGCTTTGGGGAGGGGGTGAAAACCATGTACACCAACCAGAAAGTGTGGAACACTTCTATCCCCATCCAGGTGAAGGCGCTGAGCAGGCTGTAGTGGAGGCCCGCCCCCACCCAGGTGCACAGACTCTCCCCTCCCACATTGGCCAGGACCCCAGTAAAGAAGAAGAGCAGGTTGAGGACGGCGAGGGACACGGCTAAGCCCAGGTGGATGGGTATGGACTGCTCCTTTGTTCGTCTGCTATAGGAAGGAAGAAAAAAATAGAAGTTATTGAATTATTCGAAAATTACTTTTTCTTTATACCTTAGTCATTATAGCGTTACCTCTTCCTGGAGAGAAAAATGATGAGAGCCACACAGCTGATCACAGACACAGCACAGCCCAGAGATGTAATTGTGGTCAGGACCAGAAGATGGCGCACTGGTCGAGGCTCCAGTTGCTGTCATGGGCACACACAGCAAAGAGCAAGGTCCTCATACACAGAAATATGGAGTGTATACATTTCTATGCGTGTGTTTCTCCACATTACACTGATGATAGCGTCTGCGTTTAAAATCATCTTGAGATGTTCATGTAAGTTCTGAGTAATGTTAATATTGTTGTGAAATATAGATTTTCTTTTGTGCATCTCATTACTTAGTTTCTGTTTTGTTTGATTCTTGAAAAAGAAAAATGGTGGCATATGTGTGATGTTTCTCACCACCAGTACGGAGAAGTAAGTCAGGTGTGTGCACAGACACACTGTTTTCGTCGCTCCTCTCTGCTGTGTTATACACCCATCCACCAGCCACCTGACCTGCAGCGGATCTGCACACAGACGATGACGAGTCAAACATATCTCATTCTCATCAATGGGTTAGGCAGTAAATACACTAGGATGCATGTTACATGAATACAATTATAAAGGTTCTAAAGGGTTCCTACCTTTCCTGGTGTCCCATGAAACACATTTCCTTGATTGCATTTTCTGAAAAAAAAAAAGAAAAGAAAAGAGAATTAGCTGTCATCATTTCCCATGAATATGCATTGCTTTCTTTTTCAAAAAGACTTGGGTCACATTGACTTGCACAGAGACTTTGTGCAAATGAAAGGTTTTATTTCATTTGCACAAAGTCTCTCTGCCAGCTTCTATCTTAATGACTATTCTAATCATTTTACAATGTTATTTTATTTTATCATCAATAGCACTTTTTTATATCTTCGCCCTAATGTTGTTTGATCTTCAAACTGATTTAAAACATTTTATTTTATTTTCCCTCTATTCTCTATTTTCGTCTTGGAAAGCACTATTGT